TTTTCTGTATTTTTGATCTAATAAATGCAGCCTTGATGAGCAGAAGAGACTTCTTTAAAAAACATTACAAGTCTTACTGATCCCAAACTTTTGACCGGTAGTGTACATTTAATGAAAAAATACAATAAAAATGTAAATATATACATTTATAAAATTTAATTATTGTAATTATAGTAATAATTGAATTAATTTATTACTAAATGTAATAAAATGTAATACATTTACATAAATCGATGTTTAGTTAAATCCCATTTAAAATGTAGATAAATAAAATGAACAATAAATTAATAAATAATTTTTAAATTTAAACATAGACACATTTAAAACTGTTTAAATGTACATTTTTACAAAGGAAAGCAATTGACAAATGCAATTTAAAATGTGCCATTAAAATTATTTGTCTAATGTTTTTTAAATTTAAAAGTGATTTATTAATTTATTGTTTTAACTACATTTTAAATCATGAATTAAACAGTTTAAAATGTATATTAAATTGTCAATTTAAAAAGTGATTTATCATTTTAGTATCTTTATTTATCAAGTATATTTATTTATTTATTGTTAAATTGAAGGGAAAAAAGGGTCACTCCTAGTCCTTCATAATTATTGTCTTTTTAGCTCAATTTAAATAATTATAAAATGTAAAAACTTCAATAAAATACCTTACATACAGGAAAATGTTACATTCAATCAATTGTTTCGGCAAACATAAAGTGAATTTATTGGTATAACTGGACTCTCAGCTTTCCCCGATCTCCCCTAATCTTAATATTTCCCATTAATAAGCCTATATAAATAGCATTTGCACCTGTTCTGTGTCAGCGTGTCTCGTCTTCATGTGAGCGATGGGCTCATTAAGGAATCTGACATTAGTCCTGATGAATCTGGCGTTGTGAGGATGTGGGACGTTGCGGGTCTCTTGCAGGATTTTTATGGTTCTGATAGACACCGATTGGGTCGAGACGCTCTGGCAACGTCTCATCAAAGATCCTGAAGGAGTTTGAACTGCAGATACAGAAGATAGAGACAGTTCAAATATGCTAAACTGTAGTTCTGTAATGAGATTATTGAGGAAAGCAGGGCACATTTGAACAAATACTCACTGGAAAGACTCCCAAACCTTTTTTCGAGGTAAACATATTTCTGCATAATGGTACATTTGCTTTTTTCCATTGAATAGTGAATGAAGAGGCTTCAGTGCAGTTGGTGAAGCTTGAGTTTTTAAAGGTTGCCATGCAACAGTGACGATATGAAATCTGACACCCACTCAAGAGAGCTGCTACTATAAAGCACAATAATGCATTAGAAAAACAACACAACAGAACAGAAATGTTCTAATCTATTCATATAAGACATAAAGTCTGTGGTGAACTTCTTGGTAACATAAAAGTATCATTGCATACCATATTTGTTTAGAAGTGTTGCCATAGTTTTGCATTATGTTTTTCTAAAAAAACAGTTTGTTTTGAGAAAATGCTGCATTTATTTGATAAAAAAATGCAGTAAAAATATGAAATATTATTACAATTTAAAATAAGTGTTTTCTATGTGAATATATTGTAAAATGTAATTTATTTCTGTGATCAAAGCTGTATTTTCAGCATCATTACTCCAGTCTTCAGTGTCACATGATCTTCAGAAATCATACTAATATGCTGATTTGCTGCTCAAGAAACATTTCTGATTATTATCAATGTTGAAAACAGTTGTGCTGCCCAATATTTTTGCGGAAATCATGATGCATTTTATTTTTTCAGGATTCACGGATGAATACAGTTAAAAAGAACAGCATGTATTTGAGATAGAAATCTTTTGTAACAATATAAATGTCTTTACTGTCACTTTTGATCAATTAAATGCATCCTTTGCTGAATAAAAATATTTATTTCTTAAAAAAAAAAAATCGTATAAAATCCAAACTTTTGAAATAAAATCATTACAGAACTTCTTATGCAGAAAAAAAGCATCTATTAAGCAGATCTGTTTTTGTTGAAAGTAAAGACCGTGTTTGCATGACCCGTGTGCTTTTACAGTTACCAGACCTGAAGTGAGAACATGTGTGCTCCAGAATCACAATTTTTCCACTACCAAGAAAAAACCGTCAGTGGAAAACTGAAAACAAACCGGTTTCCTGTGTTCTTTCACTGCTTCCTGTCTGTTATTGGCTGCCTGCTTCAATCTGACATGTAATGTGGTTAAACACTCATTAAATGGAGACATAAATAGAAACAAAAACACAGGCACATTTATCCAAGACTTAAATTGCTATATATATATATATACACAAAGCAATGTGGGGAAAGTTAAAGGGAAACTCAGAAAGTCAGATTAAATGTTTAGCAGGTTAACTTTAAATATGTTAAAAGACCTCCGATAAACACGCTTACAGACCAGGACCATCAGGAAATCCTGATCCAATCAATCAAACCCTGAGTCCATTAGAGCACTGAGTGACCATCACAATCGAACGCTCCACTAATGGTTCAATAACTAAAGCAATGACATTCAGATACTTTTAGTGTCACTTAAAATGAAAATTTGCTGAAACTTTACTCACCCTCAGGCCACCAGAGATGCAGATGAGTTTGTTTCTTCATCAGATTTGGAGAAATGTAGTATTGCATCACACTGTCTCAGCAATGGATGCTCTGCAGTGAATGGGTGCCGTCAGAATGAGAGTCCAAACAGCTGATAAAAACATCACAATAATCCACAAGTAATCCACATCACTCCAGTCCATCAGTTAATGTCTTGAGGAGACAAAAGCTGCGTGTTTGAAAGAAATAATCATCATAGAATAATCATTAAGATGTTTTTAACTATAAACTGCTTCTTTTAAGAAAACAATACCTGTCCATAATCCATAATAATGCTTCCTCCAGTGAAAAAGTGGTCTGGTCTGAATCAGGAGATAAATCTGCACAGATCAAGCACCGTTTACAGTCCAAAACAGCTCTAAACAAATATGCTGGTGGATTTTGATGTGAGAGACAACAGGAGATGAACTGGATGAGTGGTGTTGCTCAGTGTGATCAGCACAGGTGTGCAGACAGGTGTGTAAAGTCATCAGCATGTGTTGTGTTAGCAGTCAGTGTGGCTCTCCTTTTTCACTGGAGGAAGTGTTATTATGGATTATGGACTTGTATTTTAAACAGAAGCAACAGTTTGAAGTTAAAAACATATTAATGATGGATTAGTTTCTTACAAACACGCAGTTTTTGTCTCCTCAAGACATTAACTGATGGACTGGAGTGGTGTGGATTATTGTGATGTTTTTATCAGCTGTTTGGACTCTCATTCTGACGGCACCCATTCACTGCAGAGCATCCATTGGTGAGCAAGTGATGGAATGTCATATTTCTCCAAATCTGATGAAGAAACAAACTCATCTACATCTTGGACAAATGTTCATGTTCAGCTGAACTATTCCTTTAAGTTTCCAAAGTCTTGTTAGTCCGTGTGAAAGTGTTTCTGCCGTCTCATTTAGGCTGCAGGAAACACAGAGACGGATCCCAAACAAAGAGTCCGTCACATTCCATCAGAGGCCCGGATCTGGGCTCTTTATCTAATAGATATTGCGATTTCATACTGATTCCAGATCAACTTCCCCTGCTCTCTTCAAATATCAAAGACACAGACTTGCTCACAGCAAACTGTTCCCAGTTCAGTCTGAAAGCCGTCCGTCTATTCAGAGACACACTAACCCTCGATAAGCCTCTGATCTAATCTTGCAACTGTCAGCTAAGAGGATTCCAGCCTCCCAAACCAGTGCACATGCAGATTTGCTGAAGTGATGCATGCTGGGAGAAAAAGGACAGCCTGGGGACACCTGAATGTGTGTCTCTGGGTCAACACGGACAATCTGGGAGATTTGAGCTCATTTCTAAAGACATTATTATTAAATAATCATTCCAAATGCAGTTTTAATGGACGCAGACGCTGATGTTGCACAAAAGCGAAACGCGCTGATGTCTGATACAGACGCCACCTTAACAGAGCTCTGTGAGGGCAGCCAGGTTTTCCATGGAAACAGAACTGTGATGAGTGTAACGCGGGCCGTGATTGGTCGATTATGTGTAAAGTGAACATCTCCTGAAAGAGGATCATGCTGTAGAATCAGAGGACGCCTAATATTCATACTACAGCCATGCTCACTGGATAAGCAGTCAAAATGATTCATTTGCAATAAAACAATGGGTTCAGTGTTTTAATAGAGGTTTATTAGTTTGATAAAACTTTACATCAAAATAGCTGTTTTTGACAAATAGCTGTTGTGGACATATAGAAGTCTCTTCTGCTCACCAAGGATGCATTTATTTGATCCAAAATACAGTAAAAATTGTGAAATATTTTTACAATTCAAAATAACCGTTTTCTACTTGAATATATTGTAAAATGTAATTTATTGCTATGATCAAAGCTGAATTTTCAGCATCATTACTCCAGTCTTCAGTGTCACATGATCTTCAGAAATCATTCTAATATGCTGATTTGCTGCTCAAGAAATGATTTATTCTGATTATTATCAGCGTTGAAAACACCTAATATTTTTGTGGAAACCGTGATGCATTTTATTTTTCAGGGTTCTTTGATGAACAGAAAGTTCAAAAGAACAGCATTTATTTGAAACAGAAATCTTTTGTAACATTGTAAATGTCTTTGTCACTTTTGATTTGATTCCGTCACAATCTAATGTGTGCTTGATGAATAAAAGTATTAATTTCTTTTTGATAATAATCAGAAATGTTTCTTGAGCAACAAATCAGCATATTAGAATGATTTCTGAAGATCATGTGACACTGAAGACTGGAGTAATGATGCTGAAAATTCAGCTGCGCATCACAGGAATAAATTACATTTTACAATATATTCACATAGAAAACACTTATTTTAAATTGTACAAATATTTCACAATACTACTGATTTTACTGTATTTCATTCATCAAATAAAAGCAGCCTTGGTGAGCAGAAGAGACTTCTTTCAAAAACATTAAAAAAATCTAAGATAAAAATCCACTACAATATTTTATATTTTATTATCTTTCATATTGAGTTTGAATTGATGAATCAGATAAAATCATACTGAACTCTTAAATTTGCGTTTTGCTTCCAGAAAGTTGCATAGCATCAAACAAATTATTCATATTTACAATCATATGCTAATAAATATAAACAACAAATTATAATTATGGGGTAAAGGTTTTGTTTTTCTTATAAAGTGTTCTTGTAAACTATCTACCAAGTATTTGTGTTTGTTGTTTGCCTGGCTCTTTGGTCTGGCTGGGTTTCAGTAACGAGTGCCAAATCCATGAATCTCCAGTTTAGAGATTGGTTTCTCATTGGTGAACTGAGCGCGGTGGATTCCAGAGCTGGGACTGCCCACCTGACTGAGCCAGTACTTCCTGTAGATCACACACAGACAGACAAAACACAGTAAACAATATGAAATATAATGCCAAGACACTTTTTTTCTTACAAATTTTGCACATTTACAATGTAAGACAGGGAAACAGTGCTGTTTTTGTACCATTGAGATATTATCGTTTTTGTTTATTATTTTGAATTAGTTTTTATTGTTGCATTTTCTTTTTCCATTTTAATTTCAGTTAAAATTTTAGTAGTTTTGTTGTGCGCATTTGCGATTTTTTAATAGTTAATTTTTTTTTATATGTCTATTTATATATATATATATATATAGTCTATACATAAGTACATCAACTTAAATTAAATGAAAATGAGAAATGTTGCCTTGGAAACTATATTATTTTTATAATACTATGTATATTACAATATATATATATATATATTGGTGAAATCACGGTGAAATTGGTGAAAACTTTTTAAAAATATTATGAAAAACTTAAAAAAAAAAAAAGAATTCATTAATTAAAAAAAAAAACCAAGATTTAAATGGAATTGACTCACTTAAACAAAAAGATGCAAATCTGGACAGTATTAAACAGTAAAAATTTGTCTATTTATTGTTTTCTGTCTTTCTACTTTTTTTTTGTTTTTTTTTTCAAACAAACGAAGGTTTACATTTCTTCCATTTACATGTGTGATTATGATATTCACCAACCAAAATTATGTTCACAAGGTCAGAAACATGGACGTTTAAATTAGTCTTAAAAAAAAACATGACATCTAAAACTAAAGGATGTTTTCTTTTTCACCAGAAGCCAATTAAAAACATCCATCCAAAATGTAGAGGTGAAAAGGTGTTCAAGAGTTTCAGGAAAGGAAGAAAGCAAGAGCATAAATTTAAGATACTTTTATGATGCTTTTATATCAATTTTGGATCTCCATTCACTTTCAATATAAGAAAACTTCTCTGTCTTCCATAAAAGAAAGAACAGCATAAGAAATGCTAAAGAAACTCCATCAGGATGACAAAAAAACCTCCATTTTCTTTCTCTTTCTCAAAAACAAGGGCGCGGCACACAATCACACACACACACTCTGACTGAAGCCGGACAGACATGCAGGATCTCTCATGCAGTTTTCCTCAGAGGCTGTAAATGCATTATTCTCCCAGTGGGCCGCAGCAGGGGCTGATCTCATATTGGATAAGAGAGAGTGTGCTCAGACCATCTGCATGGCTGCCCAATATTCAGCTCATAATGGGCCTGCCAGGAAGAGGCGGAGCCTGTGTCAAAGAGAACAGCCACAATCTCTACAGCAACAGCGCAGGAACGGCCCGTGATAAAGAAACCGGCACAGACTGTGTTATGAGCGCTGGGAATGACGGATTACAGACGGATCCGGGTTACTCTGGGGTTATCAGCCGTTACGGCCAAATCAAGAGCTTTGTTTTGGACGTGAAAGCCTCGAGTTTCGTCAGGGTGCGGTTCATTCAATACTGAGGAAATCCAACCCTGACAGATGAAAAGACACTTCTCATGAACAGGCATCACGTTACCATTTTAAAAGCACAAATCCCACTTTGATTAGTTTAGAGAGAGAACTATATGGCAGAGAAACTACACTGAAAAATGCCTCTGAAACTATTTTCGGTCACAAATTGCTAGTAAAAATGGCTTTGAAAAAACACTTTACTCAGAAATTGCTAGTAAAAATGGCTTTGAAACTATTTTCAGTCACAAATTGTTATTTGACTGAATTATATATTTATTATATATTTCATATAGGTGATACAGACTGCATTAAACACAAATGACAATAAACTTTCCATTATTCTCACGCTTATCCATTCTTCCTAAACACTCTCACTCTCTCTGAAATAACACCGCACAGCTGTATTCGCAATATATAAACACTTGAGACTTTGTAGTGTTCATTGTGTTGTGAAGGAAAGGAGTTTCCCATCTGCCCTGGTGAGGAAGTCAGATAACATTGACACGCTGTGATTGGAAGGAACTTCCTCATACGGATCGCCATTTACATCAACCTCCGTCTAACAATCCACCGGACGCTCTCACTCGCTCTAGTACAGCACCAGGAACACCAAGATAGTCTGATATCAAAACACCAGCAACTATTCACAACCTGTGACTGCCATTGTGTTAGAATATCAATGAATAAAAAATACATTATATTATATGATATATGATATGATATGATATTATATTATATTATAACAACCTGTGACTTCCATTGTGTTAGAATATCAATGAATAAAAAATAAAAAATCGAATAAATTTATATATTATATTATATTATGTTATATTATAACAACCTGCGACTGCCATTGTGTTAAAAATATCAATGAATATAAAAATAAAAACATATATATTTATATAACATTATTTTATATTACGTTATATTATATTATATTATATTATACAACCCGTAAAGTATCACTGGATCACATATTACAATTGTATATAATCAATAGAAAATAAAACAAATTAATAAGAATAATAATATTACACACTCAAAATATTTTTCATATTTGATATTATTAATTAAAAAATATTTTTAAAAATACTTAAAATGTGCACTTTTGATATTATAAAAATATTTTTCAAAATACTTAAAATGTGTACTTTATATTATATTATATTATATTATATTATATGGGTTTCCTTAAATGCCCCCAATAAATGAAATGAACCCTAAATATGAGCAATAGTCACAGTGATGCAAGCAATCCACAATAATTATAAGAATGCTGTTGCAAAATGCTCTAAAATAAATGCATTATGCCAGATCAGAACAGAGACTGCTGTAAAATGTCATGTCAACAGCTGATAGATGATCTGGATGGAGCTGAAACGCTTTCTGGCAGTATTTCTAGACTTCAGAGCTCATCCAGTCGTAATTCAAGCATGGGTGGAGCGTTTGGGAGGGTGGAGGCCATCTGGGGACGATCCTCTGGGATCGACAGTCTCATCAACGTCACCCGCAACCTTAGAGATTCACCAAACCAAGCCCAATACTAACAAACAACTGCAGAGAGCCAAACCAAACAATTACACTGCAAACAGACTGACAGATGTCAATGGAAAGGAATGAAAGAAAGGAAAACAAGTAAAGGGGGCGGAGCCTGGAGGCCTGCCATCCGCTGTTTAAATATTTAATGAGCAAACACATTTCTGTTCAGCAGCTTGAATGAGGAAGAGGAGGAAAAGCTCTTCGGCACTGTATCCAGGCAATGGCATGTACAGCTACATGAGTTTCTGGGCTGAAAGTAAATAGGACACGATTTCACCAGAGAATCACAGCTAAAAATGTCTTACAGGACAGCGGCCACAGATAATAACCTTCACATGAAAACTGACCTGACAGAGGAGACCGGGGCTAGTTGTCACATGCAGTGATTTTGTTGTTACTTTAAAAATGCAATAAAATAAAAATCAAGTACTTTCCAGTGTTTTTCTCATTGAACATTCTTTTTGAAATACAGCACATTACAAAAGTAAATTGTTTTAGGAATGTCATTAGATCTTATAATGATCTAATAATCTATATAATTATGGAAAATCTTAATCAAAAGGTTAGTTTGTGGCAAGTTTCACATTTGCGCATATCAGGTTTTATATTAATTTAAATTTCTTTTAATATTAGTTAGTTTTCAATTAATTTACATTTATTTTAATATTAGTTAGTCTAATATTAGTTTTCATTTTAATTTAATTTAAATTTTTTTGATTTCTTCCAGTTCTTCCAGTTAGTAATTATTTAACTTAAACTTATTTTAAGTTTAAGAGCATTTTAAGTAATGTTTTAAGTTTTTCATGTAATATATATTTTTTGAATAATTATTTATTAATAGATAATATAATATAATATAACTTAATATAATATAATTCATTCATATTTGTATTCATATTTATTATTAATTAGTTTTATGAATACTGGCTTTCATTTTTATATTTTCAGTTTTCATTTTAATTTTATTTAAATTTTTAGAAATTTTATTTTTATTATTATTTTTTCTTATTTTACTATTTGGTTTTAATTTACTTTTATATCAGTTTTGAGTTTTAGTTCAGTTTTAGTTTTTATTTATTTCCAGTCATTCATTTTAGTCCTTCAAATTCAGTTTTCATTTAATTTAATTTAATTGTATTTTTTTTATTAAAATGAAAATAAAAAGATAAGAGATCATATTAATAAAATTATTTAAAATATTTAAAATGCTAGTTTTAAGTAAAAAATATAAAATATGAATATTAGATTATTAATTTTTATATTGCTATTTGTTTTTAATTTATTTTTATTTCAGTTTTACTTTTCATTTGTTTCCAGTTAAACTTATTTCAGTTAGGTGCCAAGTTTTTGTAATATTTATATTTGATTCCAGCTTTCAATTAACAAAAACATTTTTACCGCTTTAGTTTTTCTTAACTAAATGCTGTGTTACCACAATATACTGTTATGCACAGTCTACATAAAGTAGTATGCAAACATTTGTATGTGTTATGCTTACTAAAGATCTGCATACGGAAATACAGTATATAAGCTCTCACACAAATGAATGTCTGGTTCACATTTGAGACTGTGATGTCATACGGCCCTCGCCCCTGAGCGCCGCCCCGCCCGACTGACATCATGACATCATCGCTCCTCGACCTGCCCCACCCACGGGACTGCAGACCGCCGCACGCACACACACACACACACACACACACACACAGACAGCTCTGCTCGGCTGGAGCTCCTGCTGTTATATGATTACAGGCTACAGCACAATGCTCTCAAAGGGAAGTGTGAGTTTCCATGTTCATGCTCGCACTGTGACTGTGATCAGCCTTTCTAGACTGTTCCATGACACCAACACTGAAGCACTGACGCCATCTGCTGGTGACAAGAGACGCTGCACATGTGACAGATTTAGTGGATCAGAGTATGGAAATAAAGACCTTTAAAGGGGTCATATGATGCGATTTCAATTTTTCCTTTCTCTTTGGAGTGTTACAAGCTCTTGGTGCATAAAGAAGATCTATAAAGTTGCAAAGACTAAAGTCTCAAATCCAAAGAGATATTCTTTATAAAAGTTCAGAGTCAGCCATGCCTACCTAAAACGGCTCATTCTAACACGCCCCCACATGTCTACATCACAATGTGGGAAGATTTGCATAACACCGCCCAAATGTGCACGCAAAGAAAGAAAGCGTGGTTTCAGGAACAGCAGTAGTGTTGATGCAGCCATGTCAGGGGGCAGCAGAGCTCATTAACATTTAAAGGGAAATGCTACAAAAACAGCTTGATCTGAAAAGAGCTGTTTTTGACAGGGTAAAAAAGGTGTTTTTTACACTACCATTGAGAACTTTTAACCAAACTATGTTACAGACTTTACATTAAGACCCTAAAGAATCATATCAACTTGTAGAAAATGGGCATCCTATGACCCCTTTAAACAAACACTCAACAACAGTTGCCTACTCACAGGTTTTTGTCATGAAATCTTTATTTTCCCCAATTAATAGTAAATATTATAATTAATATTAGATTTAAAATTTAATATTTGCTATTTATTTTGTATTATTTTAGTATTAGTTTTAGTTCAGTTTTATTTTTTATTTTTTTCCAGGTAGTAATTTTAGTACTTCAGCTTAAACGTGTATCAGTTAGTTGCCAAAGCAACATTTCTCATTTTTAATTAGTTTTCATGTAATATTTATATTTAAATTCTTTTATTTTTTATTATGTTATGATTTCTAATATTTGTTATTTATTTTCATATTTATTATGTTAGCTTCTATTTATTTAGTTTATGTCAATGGAAAGGAATGAAAAATATTATTTTATTTTATATTTCATTTATATTTATATTTTAAAAAATACAATTTAAAAGACGATTGTCTTTAATGGTCACATTTCTTCAACATTTTCGGGAAACATTATAAAATTTTGAAAATTTGTTATGTGCTTATTTATTTTATTTTATATTTATTATTAATTAATATTTAAAATGTTCTGTTCATTTCATTTCAGCTTTAGTTTTAGTTCAGTTTAGTTCATTTCTAGATAGCAATTTTAGCACTTCAACTTAAATGCATGTTTCAGTTTTTCATCTAATACTTCTATTTTGTGTATTTTATTATATATTTATTTAATATGTTTATTAAACGCTATTTATTTATTTTTAGATTCTAGTTATCTTTATATATTATATAGTTTATTTAGATATATATATATATATATATATATATATACATATTTTAAATCTAACAGAATTGTTTCAACAGTTTTAGTTTTAATTAACGATAATTCATGTATTTCAGTATTTATGTATTTTTAGGCTTTACATGCAATAAATACTGTACACATTTGACATAATAGAGCACTATGCAAACATTTGGATATCCTAATAAAGACCTATAAATAATTTAAAAGTGATTGCACACTCAAAAACGATTAAAAGACAGATGCATACTCACATTTCTTTAACTTTTTCAGGATGTCCCTGCACCTGTCCCACCACAGTGCCCTGTCTAGTGTTCTTTACCCAGCCCGTCACACCGAGTTTCTGCGCTTCTGCCTCTGTATACTGCAGTAAAACAGATGAAAAATAAGATTCAGAGAGATATATGTATGCATGGCTTATCACTGATGAAACTAGGGGTTTGAGGTTACATTTACATGCATGCATTTAGAAAAGCAACTTTCATTGCATTCAAAGGACACATTTGATCAGTTCATGCATTCTCTAGGAATCAAACCCGGCACTTTTACAATGCTAGTGCAAACATCTACTAAAATGTACTCGGATATCAAACTGATTTCAGCGACCTAGGCTAAACTTACATCTAAAAGATCTAGCATTTGCTTGCAATTGCATAGGAATCACTCCTTTTACAGCAGATAGCTTAGAAAACCATCAAATATAATAATGCCATTACCATGGTATTTTTGCTAGTGTTAGTAGGTTCCACCCTCCTTTCTAAGTTATGGAAGCAAAAAGCTCTGTAAAAAACAAACTTAATTTATATCATCCACAGATTTCTCACCATTCTGAAGCAAACACCTGAAAAAAGACAAACGTTTGTGAAATCGAGTTTTGTTTTGTTTTTTGGAATAAGTGCTGTAACTGTATACAAATGTAATTCGTCTGCTTGTATACAATAAACACTTTGTAATAAAGAATAATTCACATATTATGTTAATACATATGAATGCACAATGGTGTAAAAGCTTTTTGGTGCTGTAATATAAATAATGGTTTTTCTACTGTACAAACTGTATATTCTATTGCCCTACACCAACCCTACACCTAAACCTACCCCTCACAGGAAACTTTCTGCATTTTTAGATTTTCAAAAAACTTCATTCTGTGTGATTTATTAGCTTTTGTACCCGTGGGGACCACAATTTAGGTCCCCACCGTGACATGAGTCCCCATGAGTCTGTGTGTAGTCAGGTACACACACACACACACACACACACACACACACACTTAGCTGTCTAAATCAGTGCATATATTCTATTGCTTTCATATGAAGCTAATTATAATAACAACAACAACAGACTAATCAAAATCTGACCCAAACCATTAAAGAAAATGTTTTGCATTTTTAGAATAAAAATATATATTTATATATAAATTTGTTGTATGAATGAATCCTTTTTCCAACTGTAGACAAGCTGATCAGATGTAGTGAAATTTATCAATGTATGTAAAAGATAAAAAAAGACTAAAACAGCCCTGAGAAGCTAACAAGCGCCCTCTGGAGGAGAAAACGAGAGTTTCCTAAACTGGATCTGCACTGCAATGCTTACATTATGGAGATTACTGATAGATAAATGAGATTTGAATAATAGATTTAAAATTATGTAACAATTATAGTATGCAATTATACATAAATGCAATGATTATGAAAATTAACCATATTAATAAAAATTAGTCCCACATACTTTTTGGATGTAAAAACATCAAATTATTTTGCCTCTTTCCAGAATGATTGAATTTAAAAAAACTGACCAGATCACAACACTAATCACACATAATGAGCTTCATAAATGTGCCTATACACACATAACACAGTTTTCCTCCCACGTCCTGATGAGATTTTAATATTCCCTGCCACAGTTTTTCTCTGTAATCTAGTATTTATGATTGAAACTTCATCCTGGCCGTCAGAGATTAGAGAGTTACAGTGTGTTCAAAAACATTTAGATTTGTCAATGCACAAACATTTTATTAGATATGTAATTTGCATACAAGGGTTTAGATTTCTTTTAAAGACAAATCCTTTCAAAAAAACAAATCACATTTGGATTTGACAGAGACCTTAGACCCGGCACATGACAGGTTAAATGTTTTTAACATGTTTTAACATGTCTGATGATCACAGAAAGATGGGATTAGACTTTAAAAATCTCAAAGGTCAACATTGATGCTGGAGAGTTTTTAGCATTAATGTTTCGTTTACTGAATCACATACTGAACCACATTTCCTGAAATACGTACTGGAGTAAAATCATCAAGATAATCAAGTAAAATGTCAGAAAAAAAAATTCAATAAATATAAGGAATTGTGGTCTTATTAATTTTTTTTGTAAACTTATTTCTAATCTAATAGTCTTATTAGAGCAATTGAAGATGGCTAATATTTCCTCTTATTTTCATTTCAACTATGAAAAATTAAGTTTTAGAATTTTACATTTTACAAATGTCAGCCTCAACGGTCAACACTGATGCTTCGGGAGTTTTTTTTAGCATTAAATCAGAATGTTTTATTTATACTAAATCTAAAAATAAAGTAAAATGTCAGTAAAAAGCAATCCAATAAATATAAAGATAAATAAATGCATTTGTGGTCATGCTAAAGATGTTTAGTATACTTATTTCAAATTTAATAATCTAATTAGAGCAATAAAGAGTTCTGATAGCTCCTCTTCTTTTCATTTAAACAAGAAAATAAATAAAAAGTTGTAGTATTTGTTTTTAAACTGAATCTAAAAACAAATGTCAGAAAAAGCTATGCAATAAATATAAGGATGAATATTGTATTATGTCTAGTCTTATTACAGCTATATGGTATTTCCACTACTTCTAATTTAAACCAGGAAATAAATAAAAATTCTCTGATTTTACATTTTAAAAATGTCAAACAAAATTCTAAATTATGACTTTCAGTTTCTACATTATAAGTATAGGTGACATTGATTATCTGACTCATTTGTCATGCACTACAATGTCAACAAAAAATGCTGAAATAACAATGCAAAAATAAAATAAATCATAAGATGTTTGATGGTCTGGTGTTAAAGGGGAACCTTGTACTTTAGCTCAGAAACACTGAAGAACATTAATAACTTTTTCAGTCTCCAAAGAAGCATAAAGCAATCCAAAACCAGATCAAACAGTTCTTGACAAGACAAGGGTCTTTTGCTAATCATAAAGAACCATCTTGATCTGTAAGCTACAGTCAAAACAAGCACAAAACAGGCACGTTTAGAGACTCCACAACAGTGTGCTCATCTTTGGATTGTCAATATCACAGCTGTGCCGACTGATTGAGGAATAACTGTATACACACACACACACACACACACACATCATTTGTTGATTTGTTCTGAGCCAGTAATGCCCAACAGAGAAAACCCATAATCCTAGAGCTCAGACTTACAACAGTACGGCACATCAACACACACACACACACTCACACACACACTCACACACACACACACACACCCACACACACACACACATTTGTTTGTTTTTGTGAATTGTGGGTACATTCCATAGGCGTTATGGTTTTTATACTGTACAGACCGTATATTCTATTGCCCTACACCAACCCTAACCCTAAA